GTCATAACATGGGTTAGTAGTAGTTTTACACTATAAAATATCTCTCTCAGTTTGCTTCTTGGTCACAGTTAAGAAAAATCAAGGAAGATCTGGATAAATATTGGTTGCCACCCATCCAGTTGTCCATCCATTTATTTTCTTCCGCTTATCCAGAATTGGGGTGAAGTGCTAGCAGGCTAAATAGGGTTTTTCTTTTTTCCCATTTCCTGCTTGGGGATACTGAGCCAGTTACAAATATGATGAGATTCATAATCCTTCCACCATGTTCTGGGGTGTCTCCCTGGATAGATGGATAGACGTGGCCGGAAAACCTGATGGGAAAGTGCCCAGAAGGCATCCTGATTAGCTGCTCAAACGACCTCAACTGGTTTTTTGAGCATAGGGTGGAGAGAGATCAGTGGCATTCAATAAAAAAAAAAAAGATTATTTTATTTTAAAGTGGTCATTAGCATGACTGTGAGCTCTGCTACTCTAGTGCTGCATTAAATCTGGCTTTTTATAGGGAATATGTTGACACCTGACCTCTAATAAAGCTGATATGATATTTTTACTAAGCATAAGCCCCTGAAGACAGACAACAGGACCAGGTTCTGAGATATTGTCGCTGTTCCAGTAAAACAGGTTTGACAACACTGGAAACTGAAAGTTACAAAGGAACATTTTCAGGAAGAAGTAGCAGAAAACAGAGACTTCAAAAGCTGACGGGAATTACCCCGGATCATTTTTGAAGTCATTTGCTTCATAAATAACACAGAAATAACATAATGGGATAATCCTGACGAATGCTTCAAGATTCATTACTTATTACTTTATTACTTTTAAGTATTAAAGTACTCTAATTACATATCTAGCATGCTTAAAATAGGCATATAAATAAATTGCATTACTTCCACAATACATTATCATAATTCTACCATATTTAATACGTGTGTTTTTGTGAGCTTTTGAGATTTCTAAATCATCTGTGCAACTTTTTTTCCTGAAAAATGTAACTAAATTGTTTCATGGTTCAGGATTTACAGGGTTGAAGTAATTCATAATGGTGTCCAGTTAGTGAATTATTTAAAACTAATCATTACAGTTAAATTCAGGTATAACTCTGACCCATAATAGATTAAAAACTTGAGTGTTAATTTGCCAATAATCATATGAATTGGCATTGTTATTTAAAACTATTAAAAGTATTTTGATAATTTAAAAAAAAAAACATAAGTGCATATTTAGTAAAAACATAGTCAAATTAATTGCACAATGCAGTATTTGCAGTCATACATCTGTGTATCCTCATGCAGGAGCTGGAGCACCAGAAGGGAATCCTGACCAGTGATCTGCAGGAAGCAAAGAACAACTGGATCAGCAAGGCCTTCACCTCGCTGCGGACCTCCAGCGAGGGGCTTCACAGTCTTAACATACACAAAGCCGGGACTCACAAAATGGGTTGGAACGTCCACAGTGCCTCCCTCTCTGGATGGAGCCCCAAGAAGCTATCGTGGCCTCACAGAGTCAATCGAGAAAATGTCTGAGAGCTTGGACTGTGAATGCGCAGATGACATAAAACTGGACACTAGAGGGGGGTTATACCTCTGCTGAAGTATGACTTTATTGCCTGAGTGATAACCAAAGACTGTATATACAGAATGACTTAAACCTGTACCTGCTGATTCCTAATTTGTGCACTAGATGGCAGTCAAGACACCATGAGCTGAGGAGAGTACCAGAGAGCACTGACAGTTGATATGAAGTAGGGACTTTCTTGGCTTTGCTGATTTTGTCTTTACTGATAAGTTTCTTTGCATATTTGTAAATCTGTGTGAGTCTCCTGGAGACCAGTATTTTCGTTTGTGCCATAAATGCACCATTAAAGAAGTAACCACTTCAAAAAAAATTCTCTTTCATGACGTAAGGAAACCTTAATCAGCATGCAGTAATTCATAACTGTTCAGTTCTTATAAGGAATTTCCTGTGCTGTGACTTCTCTTCCTCTTTCGCAATGACCTCTTTGGCTTTTATACCGCGATCAGCTGCGAGGCGCTCAAATACACAGGGTAGGCGAGACTGTGAAGCAACTTGTTATTGCTGTACTTTGACACAAAGACAGGTGTAGATCTGCAAGGAAAAGGGCAAAGGACAAGGGAATAACAGAAGAGAGTAGTATTTAACTTGGGCCCGGGGTTGGGAGTTGACTGTAACATTTCTAAAACTACTTTGAAAAACTGCTCTTGGCGAATAATCCCTCCTTTGAAGCAATGAGGGCTGCAGTGTTTGGTGGTGGCTATGTCACTGTGATTCTACTAATTAGCATTGTTGAAAGTCAAGCACTGGACCTGCTGAGAGGAGCTGGAACATCACAGAGTGAGTGCTAGTCTGTGCTTGACTACATGTTTCCCACTTTCACTTATTCTTTCTTTCTTTCATGTTATGTTATAATATTATTCTCAAAGTGATACCAATACAGATATTAAATTTTGTATTTTTCTTTATTCTGTATTTCTGTCAGTGTTTATGTTTTGCACTCAGTGACTAAATCCAGTTTTTCCCTGCCAGATCCCCTCTCCGCTCCCAAGGTGCACTGCTGGTGTTCGAGCTATCCGAATGTGACGCTGTGCACCTGGCCTAAACCACCCCACTTCCCTACCACGCATTACATTGCTACATACAGGTAAGTCTGTGAATAGTTTTAGTGGGTGCTGACCCAAACCACTGACCCCTTTTTAGTAGAAGACACTCTACTTAACAAGTGTCATTAAATAGCCTTTTTTTTTTCTTAAATGTGTTTATGTGTAAATGTTTGTGTTTACCAGTGAGAGACATAATCGGGCAAGCACCAAGGAATGCCATCTCCTTCCACCCGGCTCTTCATCCTCTGAAAAGGTACCAGTTTATAACCTTAAGAGATCATCTCATATTGTCTGTGCATCTAGGAATTTTTGGATATATTCTTGTCTGTTATGAGCAAAAATCCCTGGATCCTGAGACTGAAATCATGCATCATGCATAGTGTGGAGGGAATTTTCAGTCATGGGGTGACCTTAACCCATAGGTTTGCGAACAGCCAAGAGAAAGGAGAAGAGGTGGTTTCCAGAATTCATGCAACAAAATTTAACTCATTTAGATAAGTTGTACTATATATATATCAGAAATCAGAAAGGGTTTATTGCCAGATGTTGAGCAGGTTTACAACATTAGGAAATTGCTGCGGTGCTTCAGTGCAACATACTGTCATAAAAATATAAAAATAAAAAATAAAAAAAGACACTCTATATATATATATATATACACACACACACACACACACATACTGTACTGGAATGATCCACAAACCTGACGGGACAGGCTGAGTTTTGGAAAATCCCATTTCTTTTCTTTTCTTTTCTTTTTTGGAATCATTTCAAGTTTATCTTGTGAGTCTGAGGAAACCAGGGTCTCAGTAATTTGTGATCTGTGGTTGATTACTAATTCTGATCATCTCGAGTGCTCGTCATTTTGTGAATTCCCCAAAGTTTTCTTTCATCGTCTCTCTCTTTTTCTGTTTTTTTTTCTTTTTTTTTCAGTTCTGGATCTGCCAGCTGCCCAACCTGAAGCTTCTTACTGACTACATCATCAACATCACAGCAGTTCATTCTGGGAGAAGCAGCTCCCATCTAACAAGCTTCATGCTGGAGGATATAGGTGAGAAATGAAATTACACAGAATGTGGTCAAACTTCACTTAGCTTCATAACCCAATTCCCGTTTTTATCTAAACAAACAAACAAAAAAACAATTTAAAAAAAAATCTGTTCTATGTGTTCAGTGAAACCAGATCCTCCCGTTGATGTCCGGGTTTCCCCTACTAACAACAGAAAGTTGTTGGTTGAGTGGTCTCCTCCACCTACTTGGACCAACTTGGCAATATTCCCCCTAAAATACCAGATTATCTACCAGTGGGAAAACAAGGGGATCCGAAGGTCTGTTAATGTAAGTATGATTTTCATCACACCATATTTGCATAAAAGTGTTGCAACCACAAGTTTTGTAAGCAGCACATCACACTTAACGCTCACACGGATATCACATGTGCAAGTTCAAAATTACCCAAGCTTTTTTGAAGCAACCTCGAATTGCTTTTTTTTGTACTTGTTGTTTTCCTAAAAAAGTTCCCATCGTCTACAGGATCCAGTTTTTCATTTAATCATTTAATCATCAGTAGCTTTTCTGTTTCCTTTTAAATATTACAACACTCATTAACTTGACTTCAAGTGTTCAAAATTGTGTGAAAATATTTTCTCATAAACTGTTTTTAAGATGTTGGTCATGATTTACTGAAATTTAAAAAAAAAATGTGCATCAGCACATGCTGTAACTGATTTGAAAGTATGACTAATGATGGCAAACACATTTGCATTATTACTAAACTCTTCCATCCACTTTCATGAAACGGTTTATGATTCATCAACTATTTATAAGTCCTTTACTTCTATTTTAATATGTGACTTAAAGTAACCAGTATCTTTCCCCACTGGGCTGACTTGTAGCCTCCTGATGTTAACTATGTATTTTTTTACACATGTATCCTATATTTTCTCCTCCAGCTGGGTCCTTATGAGAACACCACAGTTGAACTGAAGGCCCTGACCCCAGGGAGGCCATACCTGTTCCAAGTGTGTGCTAGGGAGCTGCTTGGTCTGGGCAAATGCAGTGACTGGAGTATGCCCGTGAAGATCACAATACCAAGAAAAAGACTGTAGGAAGTTCCACTGACTTCCTTTTTTTGTTTACCCATTTCCTGTTAAGCTTGCACTGAAGTAAACAATGTCATTTTCTGGTATTCTAACTGCACGAAAAATGCAAACACAAACTATTTATATTTTGTTTTATTTATTAAAGAGTATTGTAAATGGATATCATGCACACAGTTTACATTTCCAGTTTAAGTCAGTATTTTTTTATTATTGTTATTTTGTAACAGTGTTGTCAAGTCAAAAAGAATAAAAATAAGGTGTCTGAAGCAAATCCTCATTGTCAGTCAGTCACATTTACCACAAGTGGGGTGACAAACTCAGAGTGTCTGATGCCCAGAGTGAAGGATGGTGGTCTTGGAAGGTGCAAATGAAATCTCTCCGGGCTGTAGGCGCCAGGGCCAGGAATAGCAGAGGAATAATTGGGCCTTTTAGTCCTCCCCTGCATGGTGAAGGACGGATGGCGATGACGGTAAATGTCCGGGTTGGTGCTGTTGTATTTTCCTGGTCCGGGAGTTGTGGCGAGATCTTCAGAGGGAGCGCCGACCTTCCTCCGGGCTGAGAAACTGTAGCTGGCACTGGAGGGTTTGTGAGGAATATGATGTCCCAGAAGATTAGGAAGACTGTAACTGGAAGATTGACGAAAACAATATAAAGGTTAACAGGAGCACTGAGTGTGATGTAAGATGGTAAATCTGGTGTTATTCTCTGTTTGATTTCTAAATTCCTCATGCTGTCTTGGGCACCTACTCCCAAGCCCATTCTTCTTTCCTAAAAAACAAAGGAAACCATATTTATCAAAGACTGTGGACTTAGTAGGAAATGGCTGAGGTGGATATAGCAGGCTACCCCCTCTAAATTTAGGAAACAAAGGAGCTCAATCAGACGCTATTAAGCAACAACCTCTGAGGCTGGGAATGATATTCAAAGCAGAAGTGCTTAAAAAGTTGAGGTTCCTCAAATAGCCACTTAACCCTTACTCCGTATTAGAGGCAATCTTCCGTCTTGTACTGTCGAACTTTAGAGCAGAAACAAATATAGTTAGAGCCTAGTAACAGTGGCTGCAGGTTTTAATACTCAAGAATGCTCAAGAAATCTGGGCACAATTTTAGATGAATTAAAGCCTAGATTAACACTAAACGCTAACTTGAACAGCGTTTATGGATACTAGAAGGCTTAAGCAAAGGGACCAACAAGCCAAAGGGTGATGTCACACCACTTTCATTGACCTCTAATCTACCTCTCCTCCTCGCCTTTACCTGTTAGGTGAGGGTACAGCATCCACAGAGCGGTATCTGGTTCGAGCTCCAATGATGTGTGATGGAGGTCTGCGGTGGCCATTGAGGGGCGGAGCCTTCTCTGGACTGTAGGCTCCGGGCCCGGGAGTCTGGAATAGGTCACCTAACATAAAAGGAAACTAGTTTGAAATTATTCCTTTATTTTAGGGGGAAGATGGATGAATGTGTGGATGGACTGATAAATGGATGGATGACTAATGCTTGTCCAAATATCTGACATCAATCACACAGGTTGAATGGTTTTTCCTTCTTTTTTACCTTTACTTCCTGTGCGCCCTCCTCTGCCCAAAATAGAGTAAGATGGCGTTTCCATGCTGCCAAACCGCGTGACCTTTGATCCAACGTGATACCTCGGTCCTGGGCTGGAATCCACAGAGACCACTGCAAACAAGGCCAAAAACCATCAAAGTGCTATTCCTTTACTTTAACTGCTCCAGCTTAGCATTAAGTACTTCTTTGTAGCACTCCTTAGTCAACGATTGGTCCACTGAGGGCAAGTTTACCAGAACATACATAAATAATTGACAACTTACTGGCACTGCTCATACGACTGTGGAAGGTATATGCTGCACTTCTGGGCTTGGTGAAATCATGGTTGATGTATCCAACTGTAGGGGGCAGGCTGTAGCGTCCAGGGCCTGGGCCTGACAATGAGTAGGTGGAGGAGGAGGAGGATGGTGGTGAAAATGATGCAACAGATTGCACTCCAAGCAGCAGTATAGCACACCCACCGCTCTTTGGCTCCGGCTGCATCGTCTCTGATGATTTCCATATGGAGCTCTTTGACTTATTTTCTATGGTTATGCATTTTAACCTACTTCCTCTGCTTTTTGGGGAATGGATTCTAAACAAAGTAGAAATCTCAAACAAGTGTGGAGCAACGACTGTATAATGCTGTGCAAGATTTCATAGCAAAAACAGTTCAGCTATAATACAGTCCATGTGGATGCAAACACACACACACACACATACATAACCACACATGCAGGCACACACATTTCTCAAACTGACCTCTTTCTCGAGCAGAGATAATCGGCCGTTTCTTCTCCGCCTCCTCCATAGTCTACCGACCACTTTCTTCCCTCTCCTCGGCTTTTCTTTTTTGAGTCCACTGTTACTTCAGACACATCCTTTTCTTACTCCTTTTCTTGTGTGGCTCTGTCCAGGTAAGTCTCGCAGGCTGAATTATTCATTATCATGAGGTAAAGAAATCCTATCTTGACTGAGGCCCTGATCTGCACAAACTTGTTGTCAACCTTTTTTTCTCCAAGGTTCCTCAGGACAAATAGTTTCTACCAAATAGACACTTAAAGAGCTCAAATAATTGTTTAGCATGTAAATCTAAATGTGAAGTGCTCTGCTGAAACACGATCTTGAAGTGATGTATAATGATCATGTTGGTAACGTGTAATGTAGTTAATTTGTAACACTATTCCAAAGTATTTGGTTACTGTACTGCAGTATTTGTCTTCACTCATGTATGTATGCTCAAGTGACAGCATCTCAGTGGACATGCTATTAAAGCGAAGGACCTTGAACATTCCTCTGCAGCATATTGATATCTAAACATTAAACACTAAGTTCTTTATTGAACTTGTAAGGATATTCATGTGAGTACAAATGCTTGCAAATTTTATGTCTGCACTTTTAAACAGGGGGTTCTTCTTATTGACACAATTTTATTTGAAAAGCCTTACAGGCCCTCTGCAGTATTTACGTATATATTCAACAGCAAAAAAATGTGGGACTGACCAAAAACATTGTTCAGATTCAGATCATTCAGATTTCTTGATGTAATTTTTATTAGTACAATAAATTTCACAACGAATTAGGAATTTTTATCAGCAAAAGGTTAGAGGACCTTTTCTGATTCCCGTTTTCTGCTGCTGTTTTTGTCCTTAAAGTCCATTTTCCCCGATTATTTATGCACTTTAAACTAAGAGTTTTAGTTTTATTTAAATAAATTACAGTATTTCTTCCAAGACATAAGATTTCTGTCATCGTCCCAGGTTCTAGTGTTGCATTTGTTGAGTTTTCGGTTCCTGTTTTGATTTTGTGATTAATTCGGGTGTTTCTAATATTCTTTTTTTCTGATTTCCCTAAAGTTTCCCTGGCTTGTGTCCATATGTCTTGTACATTAGTGCCATTGTCCTTCTGTGTTTACCTGTCATTTTGTTATTTCATCTATTCATCCATGAATAATGGAGCCCATCCCAGCTGTTACAGTGCCCTGAACAGGCTGTCAGTCGATCACAGGATTTTTTGCCCAAAAAGCACAAACAAAAACAATGGCATTAAGACTTAAAGTGTCACTGCATGAGTGGCTTCTTGTTTCAGCTTATCTCTTAATCTGGTTCCTGTCTTACTTTGATAAATCACATTCTCATGCGTCCTGATTTTATTTTCTTGCTTTTGTTCCCTTCCTTGGTGTTTGTCAGCCCCTCCATCATGGCAGATTGTGCCTACATGTGTCCTGTCTGTTGTGCTCGCTTGCTCATGCCCTTTGAATTTGCCTGATGATTTGGATCCCAAAAAGTCTTGCCTTGTGTCCAGTATTTGGTCCTCAGTACTGTGCAAGGAGAACCACAGCACATCAGTATATTAATATTTATATTGAACTTATAAAAGGTTGTGTCAGTGCACATGAGAACAATGGATTTACAGCCACAATTCCCATATCACTGCGGGCCACTGTGGCTACTGAATTAGCACCTAGACACCATCTGAAAAGAGTCAGCTGTGGCAGAAGTTCGGAGTAGGATTTAGCATCTGGCATACACATATAGAGCTCCCCATTGCTGACATTCAGGACCCTAGACACTGGATGCAGAGGTAACTAAAGGCTTGAGAGCAGAGCCATGACCAAGAAGAACTCCATAGTTAAATATTAAGCACTGCTGACTGACTGCTCACAGGCACAGTAACAAGATACTGCTTGTCAGACGAAGATGAACTCACAGCACGACAGAAAACACAACCAGCGTCTCAAGTTTCCCAGATAAACACTGACACCATGTAACAAGCAGGGATCAAAGATGCTACTCGCTGTCGAGCTCTAACATGGATTCATTGGTTCGATGGAGACATAAGCTTGTTATTGCTTGCTCTGCACTCTTTCACATGTGCTATTTGTAGATTATACAGCCAAGAATCAAAGGAAAAACAATAAGATGTAGTAAGAGACAGGTCCACTACATGCGTAGCACTTTTTGTTTTTACTCTCAATCATCGACTGCCATGCTCCATGTACGCCACACCTGTTTCTGCTTGTGAACATTTTTATTTTGTACACCTAGTCATTCTGACTCATTTAAGGTGTCTTTCTTTTGTGCTGCTCGACATACTTCATCATCATTCTTGAACACTTGGCGTTTACAGCCCAGCGTGGTTGATGCACATGTTTAATATGTGAAGAACCTTTATTTGTAATCTTTTTATACATGTACAGTGGTCCCTCGCTATAACGCGGTTTACCTTTCGCGGATTTTTTTGGTGCGATTTTGCGTGCTTTTTTTTTTTTTTTTTTTTCTTACAGCGCATTGAGTTCTGCGTCCTGATTGGCTGTAGATCATTGTCAGTCAGTCTCGTGCTGTGTCTCCTGTACAGTACAGAATGCGTTCAGCTTGTCAAGTTAACATAAATCTTCTATGCTAGCTGTGTGACTCTAAAGTGCTGTACTGTATGTTTGCAAGTTTTCTCCCCAACAAACACAACAATTTTGACGAAACGTTTTGCACCGTCAAAGGCAACCGCGGGCGCTTTTGGTTTCATTCTATAATACTGGACTTATTTTTCTACGAATGTTTTATCATTGAGAGTTTAAATAAGAGAGAAAAGTGTAAAAATGTTCGTGCCTGTCTGAGAAAAGTGTATAAAGTGTGTAGTGAGGGGTTTTACAGCCTTAAAACATCTATAATAATTGTAAAAAATAAATAAATAAAGTTGGCTACTTCGCGGATTTCACCTATCGTGGGTTATTTTTGGAACGTATAATTCCCGCGATAAACAAGGGACCAGTATGCCCACTTTTAATTGATTTTTAATTAATTAAACACCTTTAATGGTTTTTTTCAGTCTGGTTTTGTTCTTACTTGCACCAGATTATATATTTTTTATATATATATTTTTAATTGTGATTTTCTTTGTATAACTTTCCTAATACAATCCACCCATCCATTTTCTATCTAGGCCTATGGGGGCTGGAGCCTATACCAGCAGGGCAGGAGGCAGGGTACACTCTGAATAGGTTGCAGGTTTGTAAAAGAGCACATAGAGAAAGTCCCACATTTATGCACTGCAGTGCATAAATTTAGACTCACCACTTCTAAAATGTATGTCTTTTGGACTCTGGGAGAAAGCTGAGACTAAACTGGAGAGCAGCCATACAGGCACTAGGAGAGCATGCAAAAACAGACAAGGGCCCGAGCTAGCTAGTGGATTAGAAACTAGGACCTTCGCACAAGGCAAAGATGACACTGAGCCGCTCTTGGCTAATATTCTGTATTCCCGTCAGTCCATCTGCCTCCGCTTTAAAGTACTTTGGGTCAGCTCCATTTTCACCTCTTATGCACTGTGGAGTCAACATGATATGTTATTAAGAATCCATATGATGTCTATTGCTTTGTTTTGTTTTTTATCCACCTAAATTTCCATTTGCATTTTGGTCATCTGATAAGGTGCAGAGTTGTGTTTTTCAGTGCTTGGCGACTCTGGTGTGCAGACAACTATTTTCCAAACCCTGGGTTTCTGACATCATTTTATAGAACAGCATCAGAGTGATAACAACTTCAGTCATTGTACAGTCTTTACTAACTAAACATAATTTAAGAATTAAAACATAGCTTTATACTTTAAATATGCTGGTACAATTTAGTACAAAAATAAAAGGCAGAGAAATGCTTCCGTACACAAACACCATCACGTCATCAGTCACTTACTGACACTCAGAAACAGAAGAATCCTGAGTGAACCAGTTTGGTATAGTATCCAGCTATATAACAAAGAAGAAATTAGAAATACTGTATGATAAGTTACTTTTGCCTTTTACATGGGGGCCACGGTGAAGGCTGAGGTGGGAGTATCCATTGAAGCTGAACCGCCACTAGATGGTGCTTTGGATCCACAGGGGAAAAAAAGAAGTCCAAAATGTAACTGAATACTTCTGATCTGTTTGCCTTTTTGCACACAAATACAAAAGTATTTACTATAATCCAGGTTATTCATGCAAATGTGTCATTTTTGAAAGAAGAAGGTAGTCCAAATGGTGCCTCTTGTGATACCAGCATGTCTGTGTCTGAGTTCACCTTCCTTACGTTGACTCAAAAAGTTACATAAAGGAAGAATATCCCACTTTTTCTTCGGATGTCCTCTTGTGGCCACAGCTGGTAGCCGTACAAAAAATGTCCGGAGCAAACTGTCTTTATAATTCTGATATATGAATACACTCTCTTTATCTCATATACACACATAATAACGAATCACATTCACTCAGTTCTTTTCTTGATTTGTTTTCTGCTCGTAAGGACAGCGTGTGCTATGATTTATCCCCTTGGAGAACCTGCAAAAAAAATCAGCGTTTATAAAACAGTTTTAGATTTCCATGTATTTGTGTGAGCAGCATGTGTACGCGTGCATGTTTGTGATTTGATTGGAATGATGATGCTTACCTACCTGGTTGCGAACTTTGTGGGATTTCTGCATCAGCACTCTCCATTGGTCATACAACTTCATGGACATGCTGCTACAACCGTAGGCGTGTTTCCGCACCCAGCCGAAGAACTGCTTCAGCTCCCTGCGCAAGGTGGAGTTGGAGTCTCCGCTGGATTTTGAGTCGCAGGAGCCTGACATCATTCTCTCTGCAGGGAGGAGAAACCAGTAAAAAGGTATTAGGCATAGAAAAGGAGTGTGTGTGTGAATGAAGCTTGTAATAAGAAAGTGCTTTGAGTATTCAAATTGAGTCGAAAAGCCCTATATTAAGTACCAGTCCATTTACCATCTGACAAAACTTTAGTATAGACCAGGGGTGGGCAATCTCAGTCCACGAGGGCCGGTGTCCCTGCA